GATGGTATTTGTTGGTTGTATAGGTAGGGGTGCTAGCAGCGATGGTGGATCAACGTTGATTTTTGTTGGTGGTGCAGGCAGTGGTGGTGCGGTGGTGGTGCGGTGGTGATGGTTGTGGTCGTCATGTTGGTGTGGTGTCAGGGTGAGGGTGGTAGTGGTATGTGACCAATTATTTAGTTATTTGTGACCTAAAAACTTGATAACTTGTGACTAAAAAATGATCCGTGACCAACTAATTCCAAAATCTATGACTGACAAATAAACTGTGACCTAAAAATTCAATAACTTGCGATTTAAAAATAATTTGTGACCAATTAATTTGAAAATATGTGACTGACTAAAAAACTGTGACATATAATAATTTTGATTTGTGGCCGATGAAAGAATTTGTGACCAGTTATTTTTACAATATGTGACATTGTGATCTTAAAGTACATATCTGTGACCATAAATTTTATAACTGTGACCGTAATATGTTTCATTAATAAAATATTTTTAATTAATTAACACAAACCTGATTTTTGCATGTTAGAACTTTAGGCCTGGAATTTGAATTGGCCATACTTAAAGCCTGATTCATGAATTTTTCCCTTTAGAAATTTGTTGGGTTAGGTCAAGCTAGCTAGGCTAGGGCTTAGGAGATAAAGTATCAATTAATCACCTAATTTGTTAATTTGTTTAGAAAAAATTAAAATAATTTGATTTGTTCAATATAAAAAAAATAAAAATTATGAATATTCAGTTCTTTGTCTAGAATCGAGAATCGAACCGTACCCGTCGATTTTTAATTCAGATACCCGTTCGGGTATTTAACTTGAGAAGAATCGTCGGGTTCGGTTCGGTTCGGGAGATTTGCCCAGCTCTAATTCTGAGTGAAAGACAATAACCGCATATCCACATATCACTATTGATCCGTACCATATGTCTTGTGAGAAATATATTTAAATTGAAGGTTGAATTAAAATATTGGTAATATATTTTAGAGAAGTCTACTTCATTAAGCATTGTTGGTAAATACCAAAATGAAGGACTGAGACATTGAAGAAGTACTGCAATATAATTAATTCGATAGAAAGGCACCATCTCTCAAGTGAAAGATCTGTTTTATTTATAGGTGCCTGTATGATTGATATTTACAACTTAATCATCTCTAATCATCAATAGAAAATTGTAAGAACCGAAGAATCATCTGTTCTTCGCTTTCAAATTAAATGATTTAATGCCCAGCAGTTATTATTACTATTTATTTATTTATAGAATTCCCTCCTGCGTATCACTGGTTTAGTGAAATTCCAATGTGTATATATCTTGCAATTTTAAGTTAATTCACATACACACGAATTAAATAGTATCTCGACTGTCAATAGGATATGCTTGTGTTGCTCCTCCCTCGTCTTCACGTCATTATCTTCCTTAAGAAAAACTTTAGCGGTGCACATTAACATGTATAGCCATATTGACATACAGCTGAGACCCACACCGAGGGCTTCCACTTATTGTTCTTCTGATTCTTTTTTTTGCCTTAAAGAAGCTTCTATTTTCATATTGTCATTCCTTATCTTGATTCCGAATTTATTGGTTGGAAGAAAATTAGTTTCATATTATTATTTATAAGTATAGCAAAAATTAAATAAATAAAAATAGTTTTCTTTTGTGAAAAAATTCACATTTTATATTTTTTGTTTCGTTTACGAGAAGTATAAATAAAATTTATAATTATTATCAAAATAATCTATAATTCTTTGACCTGCCACAATAATTTTATTATTAAGATTGATTGTATCTGGTGAAAAGGGAAAATGTAGTCATTTTATGCTTCTGTCCACCGATCTCTCTTCAATTCAAAGAACCTCAGGTTTTTCTCTCGCTTGAGGGGATTCTGTAACTGTCTAGATTATAACTTCTCACAGGTTCTACAGATAAACAAGTGTCTTTTGCCCATTTTCGTTAATGGATTGCATGACCCCTGTTTATGATTTCAAATCGTCCGTGGGTAATATATTGTTTGATTGGATGAGTATTGTTTATGTGTGCATTTTAGTTGGTTGAAAAACTACTTGTAAAATCAACTGACATATAAATTTCTGTTTTCCTCTGCTTGTATCGGGAAGAAACAACAGTGCCTTGGTTTATTGTTTTATTACGAGCTGCTGCAATTGTTCTATCTACTCCGGATATGTGATTACAAGAATGCTGCTCACCGTGTTGACAAATTGGATGTTGTTATAAAGTCTGACTTGCAACGGATGCAACATATGCGAGAACTCACCAAAGAGCTTGATGCACTAAATCACAGTCTCTCCCACTCTGATTTGAACTACAGGGACAAATCTGCTCTTACTGAAAAACAAGCTCAGCTTGAAGAACGACTTGGTAATTATAGTGGGATGAGTTTAACTGGGAAAATGCCTTTGGAACCTGCATATTTTGGAAATGTGAAACGAGCATGGGCTGATAAACTTGAGCTGGCCCCCCCTCCCATTGATGGGGAATGGCTACCAAAAAGTGCAGTCTACGCGTTGGTAGATCTTATGGTGGTTGTTTTTAGCCGCCCAAAGGGACTTTTTAAGGAGTGTGGAAAGAGGGTTCAATCTGGAATGCAAATTATCCAAGGTTGGTTTTGGTAATCGGGATGTAATTTTAATATCTACATTTGAAATAACCCTACATTGCAGTTCTTGTGCATGTAGAAGTGAATGGATGGCGATATGTTTTCTCTCAATTGTTATCCATATGGACATATATTTGGTTATTACCAATTTATTTGTTGCCAAAAGATAATATATACTCTGACATGAATGAACCTGAAAATGGTTTGTCTCCTAACTGTTCTAAGTGAAGAAGCTTGTTATAGTGTGATCAATGTGTCCATATTGTGCGACCAGGGTTTTTTAAGATTCCCAGAAGTACATTAACTTCCAATTTATTGGCCCTTCGTCTTTGCTGGTTTTCAGTTGTTTCGGAATAGTTTGACCTCTTTACCTTTAGGTGCTATATCTAGGCATTAGGCAATTCCTGAAATTATTCTTGTCTTAGTGAAACCAATTCAGAGTTGTCATGTTGCAGGTGATGCTTACTTGTTTAAAAGGTTGCGGGATATTTAGACTGGTTATATTACTTGGATTGTCAAATTCAATTGATAGAAGCCGTAGAGGGATATATTAATTACATGCTTGCTTTTCTTACGGTCCTGCATGTAGTATTTAGAAGGGCATTCCATGGGTCTTCATCAATTGCACCTTATTTTGTTTCTATCTGCAACTTGATTTGATTAACCATAAGATCTATGAAGTTATTTAACACATCAAGACTAAACTGTGAAGAAAAAATAGAATTTATGAAACTTTACTAACGTCTGGTGACTAGATATGGAAGGAATTGGTAAATACATGCTTCTGAAAGATTTTTGCAATTTGTGCTAAAATGTCGATAAAAAACCTTACTTGTTGTTTTGATTGAAAGTCATTTGGATAGTTGATGAATGAACAAAGGTGTTGCTTAAAGCCTGTAAAAATTGCAGTCCAGCGTTAGGTTCTCTTTAGACCTGAATTATTCTCTTTCTTGCAGAGGAATTGGTGCAACTTGGAATTACTGATGGCATTAAAGGTTAGGCTTTCATTTATATCGGTAAATCATGTTTCTGATGCATGGTGTCATTAGTAAGCTCCCAATGAAATTCTCTATGAATTAAGAACAATTTTTAAGGAATTCAGATATTTCTCTATTTTTGTAGGAAAATACTGAATATGTGCTTCTAAGGTCTCTTGACATATTTTTTCTTTAATACACTGAATGGCAGAAGTAGAACTGCAACACTCTGCAATATGGATGGCTGGGGTCTATTTGGTGCTTCTAATGCAGTTCCTTGAAAATAAAGTAACTATCGATCTTACACGAACTGAATTTGTTGAGGCACAAGAGGTTGGTTATTTCCTGTTCAGTTGCCATATTAGTTAAATGTGCATTTTCAATTTAATTTAAGTCTTAACTTATAATATCATGTTAATTGAACAAGTTAATAGAATGATGCAAAATAATTCGTTGCTAAAAAGCTTCTGACCATATTTCTGGTCATATATTTCTCTATTCTCATTTATTTGTTGCTTATTGTTTAGAAGACATTATTTTCAATGTTAAAATAAAGGCACTGCAAGGTTATTTGTTATTTATGTTTTACGGATGAAGCCTTGATCCAGTTTTTGATGGCATCCTAAGTCTGTGGAATCTGCAACGTATAACCTCCCTCCAGAACCAAAAAACAAGAAGAAAAAAAGCCAAAAAAATTTGCATTTTGTTTAGAAGTTCAATACTGAAGAGCATGCCTATCAATTGTACCATGTGTTTATTGTTATTTGGAAGATACTCTAGAAAGGAATTTTACTTCGTCAGATGAAAGACTTTTGATTTGCAATGAATTTGAAATAAAGTTAAGTGTCTTGAATTTTCAAGAAGGACAATCTTCTAGCTGTATAAAACGATGTATAATTTAGATTTAATGAAGAACCATGTTTCATTGCAGGCTTTGATACAGATGAGAAATTGGTTTATTCGCTTCCCAACAATCTTACAGGCCTCTGAGAGTATCATTGAGATGCTACAAGGGCAGTATGCTCATTCTGTTGGCTGCTATAGTGAAGCTACTTATCATTTCCTTGAAGCTTCGAAGGTAATTCTTTGCTGGCACTGGTACCTAGATAGGTGCCGTTTACACATTCTTTTCTGTATATTTTTACATAGATGATTTTCTTCTTGGCGTTAATTGTTACTAACATACTTGTTGATCCCCTGACATAGGCCTGAGTTTGGAAACTCAAATAGGATAAATTGTTTTTTTTTTTTTTCCCTTGATCTGTGTATAAGAAATCTACACAAGCATTTTTAATGAATTTTATCTGCTTGATCTATATGTTTTTCATTTTTAGTTGACGGAGAGCAAGTCAATGCAAGCCATGTTCCACATTTATGCAGCAGTCTCTTACATCTGCATTGGAGATGCTGAATCCTCTGCAAAGGTATTGTATTTCCTGCCAAGATCTGAATTTGTATTTGTAGACGGCACTGTTAGATCTTCTTACTTGGACTAGCTTTTCTACAGGCTGTTGACCTGATTGGACCAGTTTTGGGAGTCGTTGATTCTTTTGTTGGAGTGCGAGAGAAAACCAGCGCCCTTTTCGCCTATGGCTTTCTACTGATGAGACAGCAGAATCTACAAGAAGCTAGGTAGAAGTTGCTACTCTCGTTTCATTACATCATATCCTCCCATATTGTATGAATATACCTTTGCTAGTGCATGTTTAGTGCATCTCTTTACCCAAGTAAAATATGTTATGTAAACTCCGTAGGATAAAGTTGCTTATCCTTTTTCTTATTAGTTTTGTGTTTGTAATTCCCATATCTATATCTTTTGGAAGGTGCGGGTTATTGGGTTGTTGGGGGGGGGGGGGGGTGTTTAA